CGTGATAACATCCAGGGTATCACAAAACCTGCAATTCGTCGGTTGGCTCGTCGCGGTGGTGTCAAACGTATCTCCGGTTTGATCTACGAAGAAACCCGTGGTGTGTTGAAGGTGTTCCTGGAAAACGTAATCCGTGACGCCGTTACCTACACCGAACACGCCAAGAGGAAAACTGTCACCGCCATGGATGTGGTTTACGCATTGAAACGTCAAGGACGTACTCTGTACGGGTTCGGAGGTTAATTTATTCGATCTTTACCTCATTTCTAAAAAGGCCCTTTTCAGGGCCACTAATTTTTTATCATTATTATTTGACGGTATAAGATAAATAGGGATCAAGTTTAGTAAGGAGGTGGTTGTTGTACTGCTATTTTGTAATAATATTGATATTTAAGATATGTTTTATCGTTGTTGATTTAAAATTTGATATTTTAATAGCGGTCTTTCAAGTCATTTATATATCTGAGCACATACGATAAGCACGATAAGCGTCAATTAAACAGGCATTATCGATTATCACATTTCACAGATATATAGATAGAAAAATAAACTTATAAATTCTGTGAATTACCCCTTGCCAGCCGCCAAAATGCTACTGCTGCTTCTGCTTTCTTTTCATATTATATTGTGTGTTCTAACTTTTAATATATTAGCAGCTATATTACAGTATAGGAAACTAGGACAACATAAATAGTGAAATACAAAATTTAGCAATCACTGCTACTGTTGACACCGAGTAGCAGTCTGCGAATGCTATGGTAAAATAGCAGTGTTATTATAACTGCTACTGATATTTCATATCATATCAACACTACATCTCAATAATATTAGATTGGATAAGATTAAGGATTTACTATTTAATGAATTGAACAAAGTCATGTCTATAAGTTTTAACTCTTATAGTTTATACATTCCTAACGATTGGTGTTTTACAATACTCTCATGGAAATATTTCATATGAGAAATTGATTTAATCAAAATATTAATAATACCTTCTATTTAGGGGTTCCCGTTACTATTTGTTACCTTAAACAACTGGAAGTAAATGACGTGCGAATATCACATTCAAAATATTAAACATTGCCATAAATACATTTTATTCATTGATCCCGCGAAGTCATGACATTTAAAATTGCATCACATTACATATAGAATTTCCTCAAAATGTTTTATTTGCAATTATTCCACGTCGTCATCTCTTACCTTGGCCATGGACGATTAGGTATTTTTCAACAATTACATTGAAAATGTATGCATTTTAAATCGATCAAACATTATAAATATAGAAAAACCAAAGTATTAAAAATAATTTTGATTAATAAAAAATAATAATAAATTAGCATTAAAAATGTATCTTGAATAAAAAAAAATTCCTGAAAGTATGTTCATTAATCATTGAGTTAGTTTTTCTGGAAAAGTATCTATAGAAAATCATTGTATTTCGATAGCAGCTATATTATTATTTGATATTCGTATAATACTTTATTTTAAATAAAGCTAACTGTAGTTATAATTTATAAATATATATTATATCAATCAATAGGGGAAAACCATTTTTTTTTAATGTCAAATGGAAGTATGAAAATTATAAAATATGCTCAAAAAAAAATGTAAAATAAAATGTAAAATCCCTAAATATGCAAAAGTTACTTTGGTTTGTTTAGCACCATAAACTGTTGATATGTTTTTCGTAGCGTCTTTCTCACTTGGCAATAAATCCTATGGTGCAAAAATAACATACAAATACCATAATTTCAGAGTCCTAAAATTTTACGCGTGTTATCATCTTATCACAGGCTCAGGTGTTTTAAAAAAAAACCTTGATCGTCTGTTACTGACGCCGTTATATGCAAAGAACATTCCGAACACTTAGAAAATTTGCCTGATAAACATTATTAACTACATATTTCAATATACTTGGTGGCCCTAAAAAGGGCCTTTTTAGAGAGAGAGATTGATGCTGATGTGAGAGACAGATTAAACCTTCTTTTCCGTTTTCTTGGGCAAAAGGACGGCTTGAATGTTGGGCAACACACCGCCTTGGGCGATGGTCACTCCGGACAACAGTTTGTTCAACTCCTCATCGTTTCTGATTGCCAATTGCAGATGTCTGGGGATGATACGAGTCTTCTTGTTGTCACGGGCAGCGTTACCAGCCAATTCCAGAACTTCAGCGGCCAAGTATTCCATGACGGCAGCCAAGTACACCGGGGCACCGGCGCCGACACGTTCGGCGTAGTTTCCCTTCCTCAACAGACGATGGATACGTCCGACGGGAAACTGGAGTCCGGCACGGGACGACCTGGTTTTGGATTTGATTCCCTTCGCTTTACCTTTGCCTCTTCCGCTCATGATTGCTGAGTGGGTTTGTATGTAACGTTATTGAAAAGAATAGACGAATGATACCATTGTAAAACAGAAAATTGCGGTTATATACATATTTCGTACCTTCAAAACGATTACAATTGGATAATATTTATAAAAATATAACAACTTAAAACCACATATTTAACTAATTATTTAAACAAAAAATGTGTGTGTTTACATAAAAATTTAATTTACAAAAACATATTTTTTCTCTACTAACATTGGAACGAAAGACATACTTTAAGTACTCATAAAATATTAATATCGATCAATCAAATGAACCAGTTACACGGGATTTTGTTATAAATACCGTGTGCAAACATGTCGTATGTACTGTCGTTTCATATTTTCAATCGCACCGTACATTGTTCACTGACCGATCAACCGAAATGGCTCCCGGAGGTAAATCAGCTGGAAAAGCTATGAAGAAGTCCGGAAAGGCGCAGAAGAACATCACCAAATCGGACAAGAAGCGCAAGCCCAAAAGGAAGGAATCGTACGCTATCTACATCTACAAGGTGTTGAAGCAAGTGCACCCCGACACCGGCGTTTCGTCCAAGGCGATGAGCATCATGAACAGTTTCGTCAACGACATTTTCGAACGCATCGCCGCCGAATCCAGTCGTTTGGCTCATTACAACAAGCGTTCGACCATCACCAGTCGGGAAATCCAGACCGCCGTCCGTCTCCTGCTGCCCGGTGAATTGGCCAAGCACGCGGTGAGTGAAGGGACCAAAGCTGTGACCAAATACACGAGCTCTAAATAAGTTGTGTTGATCAAATTATTATGAACTCTCATTAAAAAGGCCCTTTTCAGGGCCACCATATTTACATATCGCATTTAATTTTAATTTTATATTTCTCCATAATAGAACAGTTATTACCTATTATTATTGGCTGAACAATACACAATCGTGTAAATAATATTATTTTATTCAATTTAATCACTTTTGCGTTCACTGTCCTTCCAGACTTACGCGTATTCTTTAGTTCAATGGTATGCGCAACCTGAGATTTTTATAACCAAATGAGAAATTATAACTATCTACAATCGACTCTCGGTAATTCAACGTATATACTTGATCCCTTGATAATGACGCAGTGATTAGAATTGAAACAATTTATTTAAGTACACTCGGTGGTTCGATATTAATTTTGGGAAAAATTGCGACCAACACGTGACGATTAGAAGTATCATCCGTTCATCGCTCGACAGTACAAAGTATATTCAACAAATTTATTTAATCTGTATTCTTATAATCTTTTTGTTAATAATTTACCACACGGTCGTGTAAAAATTTAGCATATTATTTTCGATAACCAAAGAGTTAATATTGTGAGAACTTTATCGTTTTATTTCTTAATCGTCACTAACTGTAATTTATGCCAAATGGCCCTGTCACCCTAACAGTTATAGGAAGTATGGCAGCGGTTCCCAATCTGGGGGTAATTACCCCCTAAGGGGTAAAAACACGATTTTTTGGGGGGTAAAAGTAAAACTATTTATTTGTATTTTAAGTACTTATTTTACTCATGTGTATTATGACTGTAAATGAAATTGTATAATATAATATTGTTGTTAATAGTTTTGGGAAATACCTTATCTTATGTCCTAATGACACTGATAATTTTATTACCTTCAAATAATACTGAGAATATTACATTATATTGAATTTCCTGGAATTATTTTTGTTGTACAATTGTCAACACATTTTATATTCTATTTATCTATTTACTATTATTATAAATATATAAAATGATATCGATATTTAATTTAATGGTTTTAATCTTTTAACCATCAGTCAGTCGTTCACTGTTTGTTCATTAGTGTACTTGTCTGTGCCGTCCACTGAATATCGATCAGTATTGTCGATTTTCTAATTATTTTGACGTAAAGTAAAAGTTGGATTTTAATAATTTTCCTTTGAATCAGGAACCATGTCACAGGGGAAAAAACGGTCATACAAAGAAGCTTTTCTACAATGGGGATTTACTAAGTTTGTTGATAAAAGTGTCGAGAAGCCTCAATGTGTTCTGTGCAACAAAGTTCTCACAACAGAAAGTATGAAACCAAGTAAATTAAAAGAACATTTTGAGAGAAGTCATTCTCAGTTTGCAGAAAAAGATATTGCATTTTTCAAACGTAAAGAATATGCATTAAAAAATGCACGTATGGATTCATCCGGTTACTTTTTTAAGTCAACTGAAGCTGGTCTTGAAGCTTCGTATTGCATCGCTCTTCGAATCGCGAAAAACAAGAAACCTCATACAATTGGAGAAAATCTCATCAAACCGTGTATACTAGATGCAGTAAAACTTGTTCTTGGAGAGCAACATGTTGAAAAGATAAATAAGATATCACTTTCTAACAACACTATCAAAAATCGTATCGAGGATATGAGCAAGAATATTTTGGACACAGTGCTCAATGAAATAAAGTCAAGTCCTTTCTTCGCCTTACAGTTAGATGAGTCGACCGACGTTGCATCTTGTTCCCAGCTACTTGCCTATGCTCGATACATAAAAGGTGACGACTTAAAAGAAGAATACTTATTCTCAGAATCACTGAGTACTACCACACGCGGTGAAGATGTTTTTCGGACAGTGAAAAATTTTATTGATGAAAATGAGCTGCAGTGGTCGAAGTTAATAGGTGTCTGTACAGATGGAGCACCAGCCATGTTGGGCATTCATTCTGGTTTCCAAACATTAATGAAAGAAGTTGCTCCATTTGCATTATTTACCCACTGCATTATCCACCGTTATGCTTTGGCAATGAAAACTCTTCCACCTGATTTAATGGACACATTTACTCATGTAGTGAAAATTGTTAACTACATCCGAAGCAGTGCGACAAATACAAGAATTTTTAAGGACTTATGTAATGAAATGGGAGGAAAATTCGACGTCTTGTTGTTCCACACAGAGGTACGTTGGTTGTTGAGAGGTAAGGTGTTGCACCGAGTGCTTGAGCTCCGAGAAGAAATTGCTTTGTTTCTAGAAAGGAAAAAATCAGGGAAGGTAAAGGAGAAAGAGTTTCACGCTCAAATAACAGATAATGTATTTATTTCTAAACTGGCATATCTTGCGGATTTCTTCGGAGAAATAAATACGCTTAATCTCAGTTTGCAAGGAAATATGACGAATATTTTAACTGCTCAAGATAAGGTTGCCAGTTTTCTTCGTAAATTGCAACTTTACCAACGCAGAATTGATGTCGAGGACATTTCAATGTTCCCAGAACTAACAATGGTGCTCGACGAAAGAAATGAAAAATGTTCATTCACAGACCAAATAGCTCTTCACTTATTATCAGTAGTAGATTCAATCAGTAAATATTTTCCAGATTTAAAAAATCGTCAAGTAAATGCTTGGGTGCTAAGACCCTTTTCAGTGGATGAAAATGTATTTCCAGATACTGAAATTGAAACCAAATCACAATTTTTAGGACTTCGTGAAAACAACACACAGAAAATAGATTTTGAAAACACACAACTAGCAACATTTTGGCGAAAAATTGGTGGAGAGTATCCATTATTATCAGAAAAAGCCTTGAAAATACTGATCCCCTTTTCCACAACGTACAGGTGTGAAAGTGGATTTTCAACAATGGTAACAATGAAAACAAAAGCAAGAAACCGATTAAACTTGGAACACGACCTAAGATGTGCATTGGCCGAAACTGAACCGAATATTAAAGAAATTGTTAGAAAAAAGCAATATCAACCGTCTCATTAATGTTCATTGCTGTTATTCATAAGTCGTAATAAATTAATAAAAACTCTTATTTTCTTTGTTTGAAAAAATAAAATAAATTATAATTATCATCATAATATATATTTTGTTTTGTTTTTTTTACTCACTTTTTTTTTGGGTCGGGGGTATTTGTTAATATCTAACCTGACTTATGGGTAATAGTCTCAAAAAGGTTGGGAACCGCTGAAGTATGGAATAACAATGCACGAGCGCGCGGTAATGCAAATAATGTTTTACTCGTTCCACGCGTAGTGAAATAGTTAATAGTAAATCGTAGGCGTCATATTCGGGCGCAAAAATACTGCCAATGTCCCTCCAATTATTCATCGACAATCAAACTGTTAACTGGTCTAATCATGCCAAATACTTCGGAGTTACACATCGGTCGCAAACTAAACTTCACCCAACACTTATGGTTCTATATATTTTTTTAGTTATTTTCAATGAACAATTTCTTTTATGTTGTGGTGTAAGAAGTGTAAAAATTGTTAATGAACAGTAGTTATAGTATTTCTAACACATTCTCTATCGATGTTCGGTCCTGTTACATATTATCAATAAAGCGCAGTTGGTAACACTTTCGCGTGTCCTGGCGTGGACGAGTTGGTAACGCGTATGGTGAGAGTATATGTTTTCTCCTTCTTCTCCAGTATTTTTGAAAATTAAGTCAAATTCTTCATATGAATTTCTAATTGAAATTAGTGAAGACTTAAGAGATTGAATATGTTTAACTGCAGATAAAATATTTAACTTTGGAGTTTGTAATGAAGAACTCACTTTCAAAACTATTTGTAAAATAGGTTGCATCATATTCATACAAAAAATAAAATAAAATTATTTGATTTGACTTTTAAGTTCTAAGCCTTTCATTTTTACATCTGGCAACGAACTGTTTTTTATTATTTCGTCCAATGCTTTTAATAATGCACTATAGTTAAGTTTAAAGGCATTTACTGCCTTTGGGCGACATGCCCACCTTATTCTTGAGCATGACTTTAACGTTTTAAGATTAGACCTATTATCTTTAGCTATATTTTCAAAAATAGCATGTCACATAGAGCTGCCCTTAATGAAGGAGTACGAAATTTGAACAGATTCTAAAAAGTTAAATACAACTTGATTTTTGTTACTTGTATTACTTGTGATTGAATCAATTAGTGACAAATTTAAGCAGTGTGCATAGTAATGCACATACAAAATTTTTGCATTCATCTCTTCAAATTTTCATTGTACCCCACTTATATTACCAGACATTGTTGAGGCCCAATCAAAACATACAATTATTAATGATCAACCTATACCAAATTTGGAATGTATAATATTACTTGGAGCTTTAAATATAGATTCATAATTAACTGAAACTAACCGTACTAAATTAAGAAAGTTTCAACAGGTCTATTTGTTTAATCATCAAAATATCAAATAACGATTGAAAATTGGTCATGATGACCAACATCACTAGTTACATCGGCTAAGATTGAAATATATACATTTTGTAAATCTGCTTTTACTTTTTTAATAAGAACATTATGAATGGAACAAATTAGATCATTTTGGATTCTATTACTGGTATATTTTGCATTTATTGGGCCATTTTCAAAGTGTTCTTTCAAAACTATTTCATATTTAGCAAAAGTATTAACTAGTTCTTTGTACAAACCCTTTTGATTAATTTTTTCTCCTTCATCATGACTCCTTGAAGGACTTTGCCTTCCTCCTCTAACAAGACACAAAGTTTTTTATTTATTTATTTTTTTTTTATTTATAGAACCTTTAGTTATTAACTATTACAGTTCAACAATTACAGATTACATAAACCAATTAAGAAATTAAAATAACATTGAGGCAATAGCAATTGGTGATAACTAAACGTTAAGTATACAAAAGGAGTTGATAAGAAATAATGATTATTAATTTGGATTCGGGAAAATATAATTAAGGAGAGACGGTATTTTTAGATAATAATGAGTTTAAGAGTGTGGATAAAAGTGAAATTAATGGAATAATGAGGGAATGTAATTGTGTAACAAATTGAGATAAAATATTTGATATAGATTCGTTATTAGAATTGTTTGAGTTGCTTGAAGTTGCTTCTGCGTATGTCTTGGCCCTGGATTTTTCTTTGTGTCGGGTGTGCGTGGACGGGGATTCCACTGTGACTGGCAAGATCACCTTTGAGGGCACTAATGGTGGTACAGGTGGTGTGGTTTTGAGGTGACCATTCTTATGATTCTTACGATAGGTGTTCATAAATTTCTTTAATGAAGGACAACCTTATAAGTTCGCGGTATGTGCGCCAGAACATAACGCACACTTTGCAGGTAGTTCCGAAGATTTGACACAGTCATTGGTGAAATGGTTGTTGCCGTATTCGACGCAACGTGGTGATTCGCTACAGTAGGAGCGAGTGTGACCGTATCGCTGACATTGTTTGCATTGGGGAGGGTAACGGGATTGATGCGGATTTTTGACAACTATTTTGGAGTTAAGGAAGGAGGATATTTGGAAGATACTCCGGTTAAAATCCCTTGCTTCTAGGACAACGGTGAATAGATATAGAGCTTGTTTACTAATTCTGTGGCGGACGTTTAGCTCACTTATGATTGAGAAGCCCAAATCCTGGAAGGCCCTCTCTATATCTTCAACAGGAATAGTATAATGCAGATTACAGATAAACACTTTGAAAGGGCGGATATAACGGGGTGCCCACGTATGGCATTCTAAATCCGATTCGTTGCAGTAATTGACTAGTTTATTATAATCATCAAAATTATGAGGTTTGATAATAAGAGAGGAACCCTTGGCGGTAGCCGTAAAACCATCGGTACCCACCAGATATTAGATCTGCTTTTAACAAGGAGTAGTTAGTAACATTACTTATTACAATTGGCGGTGCAGACATGCTCGTAACCTCGACTTTTTCATCACCAAGGTGTTTTGATGGTAGAGTACTAGGTTCATGTTGAACCGTAGGTGAGACTGTGACGGGAGGGGGACTAAAAACCTCGGGGAGGTTATCAGCCACGGTGAGGGAAGCGAACCGATTTGACGACACATAAGACTTACTTTTTTTTTGACTTGAATCGAGATTTGATGAAGAGGAGGACGACAAACTCCGTTTGGTCGACTTCAGTGTAGTAGCGCGGGACATGACAGACGGGTCTGCGTATTATCGTTCAAAACACGTGAACATAATTAAATAATAAACTGATAATAATTAAGCGCGTGACGTAGTAAACGTGCGTGCTCGACGGCAGATGACACAGAACTGAGACACAAAGTTATATCTATCAAACGCTTCATAATTTCTCTATTGCGCAAACGATCACTCTCACATTTGGAAATACATTTTTTTCTACTTATATCTATTTGTTGATCAATAGAAGTAGTATTCAAGTAATCAGCCATTGCTTGGGTACTAAGAATATGGGATTTAGACATTTGATGTTTATTAAAACGATTAATACCTCTATACCTACTACAGAAACTAGTTTTAGAAAATGCATCGTCTAATTGACTGCTATTTAAACTATTATCCTTAAAAATTCTACATGGAAAACAAAATGCTAGGTCTCTAGATGGACTATATTCTAACCATACATATTTTTCAAACCAGGATTTTTGAAACGATCTTTCTGATGCTCCTTGCATTTTTTTTTTGGATAAGATTTCATTTTTGGGCAGTATGGACCAGCTGATATTTGATCTCTGAGTTCAAGACAATTCACTGGAAGTTGGATTACCGGATCATTATTATGTATGGGTACTAAAATACATAATCAGATTATTATTGTATAATAGTCTATAATAAGATACAATATTAAAAAAAATGATAAATTATGTTATATGAAATAATCTTTGTCATTTTTGTTAATTTTATTAGTTATACCTAATAAAAATAATAAATAATTAATGCATTAATTTCTAAATTTCTAATCGAAAAATAAAAATTGATATTTCTAATAACATTAGATACACTTGTATCAATTTTATCTGCCGCAATTAGATTTGTTACATTGAACATAGTTTTCAATGATGTATCAATTAATGCATTGGATTCATCAAGTTCAACATTACATTTATTACCTAAAAATGAAAAATTATTTAAATACCATAATGTATGGAGATGGAACAAGTACTTAATTAACATTTTATTAAATTCAACAATAATTTGATTATGAATTTAAGACCATTTTATAATGCTCATAATATTTTATAATACTTAATTAATAATTTTTTAATATTATATTCATAATAACTTACCTAACATATCATTTGATAAACTCGAGTAGATTTTTTCGACTGTAATAAAATCTTTTATTTCATTTATAACTAAGACCATAAAATATAAATAAATAAAAATATTTAATGATAGAGTTAAATACTTATAATAAAAATATTGACCTATATTTTTAATAAATCGGTGGATAAAACTTACCGATTCTATCATTGGATCGCCCTACAGCACTGGTATCAGATTACGATATACTTGGCGTATTTTAATTATTTAAAAGTTTTGAAAACATGTTATTTAACTTGAAACATTTATCGCTCGCATTCAAAAGCAACAATCTTTTCTTTCAGCTCCATACTTTCGTTTACCGGACATGACACAACAGTGTCTACTCGTCAACAGTACTACTTACTACTATTATAGTCTATAATAATGTAGGTATTAAGCAGTGAATACGTTGCATGTCGAATAATATTAAGATGTGCCAGTGCAATAGCAATAACGTAATTGTTAATCGATATTTAAAATCGTCAATCATCAATGTTGCGGCGGGCTAGCAGCGTCATTGCGTACGATATACAAAACGATATTACGATAACGTTAAAAACCCAGGTTATTTTTAGATTTGTTGACCATAAATGATTATAATATTTACGATTAAAGATCATGGCTATTTCTATTTAGAGTAGACAGGTCTAGTAGTTTTATACTTGTAAATTATATAATCATAAAATATTTATCTATACTTTACCAATAAAAAAAAAAAGAAAATCATTTGTGAAAATATAAATTTACAGAAGCCCATTATTTAATATTTGTCGAACCCGGTAGCCCCAAAGAAAGTCCAGGGGCAGCCTCTGCTGCCCCCGTACGCACACTTATGCCTATGGCGAATCAAATGTTTACACTATCGGAATATCACAGTAATCCATCGAGTTAGAATACTATTCTATTTAGCCGTGATATCAGATAATATTTACCTAATGTAAATGTGACATAATATTAATCATTATTCATTACCTATAAATAATGACTAATATAATAAATTAACAAATATTATAATATCAATAAATATCTATCTAAAATCACGAATTTATATGTTTTAATATGTGTAATTTTAATGAATGGTATTTTATCTAAAATATATTATCAATTAATAAAAATATTACATCATATTTCAATCCATGTTATAATAATTATAACAAATAAAAAATTAATTAATTAATTATTATTTATTATTAGTAAACCATACTCTGTGTAGTAAAGTACTTCCATATCCCACTATTTATAGTATATACAGTCTTAACATCAATTTATCTACATTGTGACTATATAATGCTCACAAGTGTATAGTACTATTGTAGCAAGTAGCGATAGTCGCATATCACCACAGACATAAATATCTGTGCATATCATTATTTCATAAATCACAGTGTTAAATATTTTTCACAGTTGGACAACTTAACAGATTTGTGATATCATCACAGCGTGATAAAATCACTGTTATATTATGTATGAGTAGCAGTCACTGCTACTGCTAGTCATTGGATCACTGTGAAAAGTAGCAGTGACTGCCACATTTTAATATCACAACAGCCTAACCAAACGGGCGGCGGCACAGCTGACTTCAAGGAAACACTTCCCGGAAACGTGCGCACCGCACCAATTAAACCGTAAACACTATTTACCAGTTTTTACAATAACACACAACGGCCTTGGAAGTCCGATTTCGGTGTGCGGCGGGCAATGAAGAAGTAAACACGTTGGTTCATCAATCCGTTACCCAGCTCTATTTTAGCTAGTGCAATAGAATTATTCCACGTTCAATAATCGATCGCCGCGATCGTCCCACCGCTATTGAAATACTGCATGATAAGGTAAACGGCGACGCGACGCGGATACGTAGCACTCGTATTGTTATTACTGTTTTATCATCAATTATTATTATTATTATCAATAATGTTGTTCACTTGGCGATAACGATGACTCGGAGAACGCATTGAACACGATCGCCACCGCGTCGTACCCATTGTACCTAATCCGTTGTTTTTGCTCCTCCGTCAATTGTGTCTTGCGTACGTTATTATTGTAACATAGTTCGGTTGCCAATCGTTTGTCTAGGAGAGTTCAAAAGTCTACGGGTGATTAACAGCTACTAATCTCGCGAGACAATAGATTCGATCTCGGTGTCGGCGCCGCCTGTTGTTATTCATCGATCGTGATGGGCAACACCAGTGGAAGTCAACGGCACAGCAAATCGGCGGGCCTGATGGTTCCGTCATCGCCCACCAAGGAAGTGCAAAGTCAAGCGTTCGTTTTCGATAAGAACTCGGACGCCAACGCACTGCACGAGCCCGATCCGTTGTACACGAAAAACACGTCCAAACCAAACGTACGTACCTCGCAAACACGTCCGATTAATACGATTTAATTTTTTTTTTTTCTCCGACAAATCAATAATTGTGCAACACACAATAGTTATAATAATAATAATAATAATGTTCTCTATCAAGGATGACGATTTTGCCGATGGCATACCTCGTTCTATGTCAGCTAGTGACACCGAAAACAAAATGCTACCGACTGTGTTCAGATGGGAAGGTGGTGGCAAACAAGTTAGTATAAGTGGCACATTCTCGGAATGGAAACCTATACCAATGGTTCAGAGGTACTTTCATAAAATTAATTTATAACTAACTTATTTCTCAATCATAATAATTCCTCAAAATGTTAAATTCGTCCTTAAGTCCTAACGTTTTTACCTTCAATAATATTGTTGTTAACTTGTGAATATTATTTTTCTTCAATACTCCTTACATACCTATACATGTACCTACAACTACTACTACATTTTGTGAATATGTAAAACAAAGAGGAAAAATACTAATTTATTATAATTAATCTTCTTATCCTTTATTCTTCTTAACCTTCCTTCCAAATATTTGGGTTTGGCTACCTTTGTCCTAAAATTCCACTCGTCATCATTTTCTACATCCTCTACGCACACACAAATAGCCTTCATATAATTCTTGATCGTACCCAACCATCTCTTTTTTGATCTTCCTCTTCTTTTCCTTCAACATTCATTTTCATAACAACTCTTACTGCATTTATTTCTTCTCGTCTTATCTTATACCTGAACTATCTCAGTCTATTTTCTCTGATCTTGTTCACTTTAGACGCTATACCAATTTATGATAATTAATAGTATTAATAATAAAGAATGTTACAAATGATTTATAAGATGAGAGATATGAGTATTTAGTCTATATTTGTGGTATTTTCAGCATGAGTATGGCATAGGAAAATATTTCCTAGTACCCAAGGTTTTAAATGACTTCTCTTTTTGTGTAGAAATCATATTTTTTTTTAATTTTAGTTAAGTAAAATTGAATTGTTCAAGATATAGAAAATTGTAAATGAATTTTTAATATGTTATATATGTGTATGATAAAACTTTAATATAATGTTCCTTGGACCTACAAATATCAAAAGATTACATCCTAATGATTTTTTTACTACAAATGAGAATTAATTAGCTTAATTTTAAATTGAGCAATCTTATTTCATAATAATCTTCATTATGGTTTTAAGAAAATAGATTTAATAATGATAAAATTATAAATTCTTATAATTATTATAAATTAAATGATGAACATTTATATTTCCTCATTACAATGCATTTGACAATAATTGTTTTCTGTAAAAAAATAAATATTACATACCATTATTTTTGTCTAAAAAAATGTATTTTTATTTATAATTGCAGTCACAATGATTTTGTTACTATAATTGATTTGCCAGAAGGTGAACACCAGTATAAATTTTGTGTCGATGGTAATTGGCAATGTGATCCCAAAGTTGTAAGTTGGCTTAGAAATTTTAAAATTACTTCTATTTATTAAATGACATTTTATTTTAGTCAATGATTGAAGGTGATCCAGGTATAACAAATAACAAAGTTGTTGTAAAGAAAACTGACTTTGAAGTTTTCCAAGCCTTAGATGTTGATGCAGTTGGTGAAAATGGCATTGAAATATGTAATCAAATTTTTATTTTAATTTCTGCATATAAAAAGAAAATATGAGTATTCTTATATGAGAGAAAATCAATTATCAGTATTATTGTGTGCTGCTTTTAGAAACATTGAAAGTATTCAAATAATTTCTATTAGTAATTTAATGCTTATTTAATGATAAAATATTTGTTATAAAAAAAGTTATTTTTATCAAATTTTAATAATTTTCTAAAAATTTAACAAAATACATTTTTTACTACATCATTGATACATCAAATTTTAAAATCTATTTTAAGGAAGTACTTGAGCTTTACTTTATTAGTGTCACAAATAAAAATATTTATCAATAAGTATAGTAAATTATTTTTTTAAAAATATTCTCAAATTATTTCAATAATACATTACTGAAAAGTAACTAAATTATTGATTCCAACTAATACTATTATTTTTAAATGTATATATCTTATTTTGATGAAAATTATCAACTTTAAATTTAAATTAATGATACTAGACTTAAAAACACTAGTTTACAAGGTGTTAAAAAATGTTATAGTGTTCTTTATTTTGGTACTTTTTTTTTTATTCAGCTGGTTTTTCTCAAGATATTCCTTCATCAGTTCCTTGGCAAAAGATTTCTGGTCCACCAATTTTACCTCCACATCTTCTGCAAGTAATATTAAATAAAGATACTCCAGTTTCGGTAATTAAAAATATTTTCTATTTTGTGACCATAAAAAATTTTAATTTTTAAAATAAATAAATTTTTGTAATACATTCTATGTTTATAGTGTGAACCAACACTTCTTCCAGAGCCAATCCATGTAATGCTCAACCATTTATATGCTCTTTCAATTAAGGATGGAGTTATGGTGCTGAGTGCAACACACAGATATCGTAAAAAATATGTTACTACACTTCTTTATAAACCAATCTGAACTTGGTATATATTTATATATTTTATTGTTTATACATTTATGATTAAAATTGAAAAATGTTGAGCTGAATTATAATTATACGTATTAATTTCATTAAACGTTTAACAAAATGTTGGGGACAATGAGTTATATTTATTCAGTCTTAATATTAAGGACATTTTCCAGTAACTGCTGCAATTCCATACATATGTCCATTACTAACAAGAGGTACAGGTAGATTTTCTCTCTTCATTTTATTGTTTCTACTTACAAATTCAATTTTCTCACTAAAAAATCATATATAAACATATTATTATATTTTCTTGTTATTTTTTTAAATATGAAAACATACGTTATCCAATCAGTCCAATAATAATTATCTCGTGTAATGGCCAATCCAAATGGATAACTACAATTTGCTACAACAGTCCGTTGTATTCGACTGTCGATTCCAACACATTCTATAACACATTTATGAAATAATTTCAATATATTACTTTAAATTCATTTTTATATATAAAATATTAACTTAAAACAAAGAATATTATTAGTCCAAAATAGTATATTGTTTAGCAATGATTTTAAATAATTTTATTAGCAAATCAATTTATTGTTTTATGTTGATTAAAGATATCCTATAGGTATATAACATTACCTATGCTTTGTAAAGCAGCATCAGCCCAACATATTTCTTCTGTGTACCAATCTATAGCTATAGAATTTGGTAATGATACATTTGGCTTTTGAACAAAAATTTCTCTTTGACTACCATCTAAATTTGACCATTCGATTTTTGGATTTTTTCTATTCCAATCTGACCAGAACAATTTCCTAATGAAATTAATTAAATTTTTTTAATAAAAATGAAACATATTATTATAATTAAATATTAAATATATTATATTACTTAATTAGTGTTTACCTCCTGTTTGGATGAACTGCAATTCCTCTAGGATTACTCAGTGAAGAGTTCACAATTGTTGTCATATGTGTCCCATTAGATAATTCTGCTGCCATTACTCGTTTAAAACCGGAATCAGTCCAATAAATCTTTCTATTAATCCAATCCACACTCAACCCTTCAACTGATTTTGCATTAGAAGCAATAAATTCTTGTACCATTGAGCCATTATATTTAGCAGATTTAATTGTTTGATCTGTTATATCACTCCAGTATAATTGTTCTTCAAAACAATCAACTGCCAAAGCTGCCAAAGCAAAAATTAACTTATTATAATTTATTATGTTTATAGAATAATTAACTATATTTTCAATACTAACCAATAGCCATTTTATCAAATTTCAGATGAATGGAGTGACCCAGATGTGTTTTGTTTGAAACTGTTGGAATGTGCAATGTTGCCATTCCTTGATTTACAAGTAAGTAGATATCTTCGTTTGTTGTTTTTTTAAGCTCTGAAAATAAATAAAACCTTAGTATAAGGGTAAAATAAGTCTGAGCAAAAGTGATTTGCTAACTACTTTGCTACAAAAATATAAATATATTATTTTTTTGATACATTCTATGTAAATAATAATGATTTAAGTTTTAATTTTATAAGTTTATGTTTTAAAAATAAACATTGTCATTTAAATAAATGTTTAAAGATATTTGTTATTGTTTTATCTTTAATTTCAAAATATTTACATTATTATATTACCTCTACAATTATAACCATTTCCAATAAATCCTCGTATACATTGGCAAGTATAATGACCTGAATCATAAACACACTGAGCTGATGCATGACAAATGCTTCTGTTTACAATACAAGTTTCTTTGCATGAAAACTCTGGACCGATCCCATTTTCTTCATATCCCTTCCAAAATAAAAAGCTAAATGAGTTAAGTATAATCAAATAAATATTAAATAATTTTCTAAAACTATATTATTACTTGAGCACATGAACATTTATAAGTATTTCCAATGTTTTGACACTCAGAATTTAATGGACATGAATTCTCTGTACAACCAGATTCATATACCCTGTCACATTGAGTAACTCCATTACCTCTGTATCCATTGTTACAACGACAGGCATAGGTACGATCTACTTGCACACAATTGGCATTTATATGACATTCATATAAACAACCTGAAATGAATATGAAATTTTTAATTATTGACATTCATTGAACATTAATATTATTATTGAATCTTACGTGATCTTTGACATTTGTTTTCAAACTTGATATAACCCTCTAAACAGCTACAACTGTATATGTAACTGGTTTCGTTATACATACACCTTTCATTAGGACCACAACTTGAATCTGACGTACATTCTCCACTTGGTGTACATATAATACCATCTCCTTCATACCCATTATGACAAACACACATTGAATGACCTCCTTCATCTGTTTGACAACTAGCATGCATGTCACAAATGTTAGATTTATGACACTGAATTTCTGAAAGAAAAAAAATTTAAATTGCCATTAATATTATTAACTTACATCAAACAACATTTTTATTAAAATGTATAAACAAACTATAATTTATTTATTGTTTAGGAGGAATCATTTCTTAGTCCTGCTGTATTGTAATAATTTAAAATATTCAAGTAAATATCCTATTTTAAATTAAGTTATGGGATAATTTAAAAATCAGAAATTATTTTTGATAGTGAAACAAATATTTTGAATAGGTTCATGGACTAAATATCAACATTAATGAAGAAAAGTTTTAATTATAAATACTACAAAATAGTAAAAAAAAAAACACTTTATTGTGAAATAATTATTATCTTATATTTATGAATTTAACTTGTATACTAACATTTATAATATGAAACATAAGATGTCACTAGTAGCTTATTATCCTAATTATTACTAATATATCACCAAATTATGGGTAAAGTCACTTAAGATGAAACATAATCTATGTTTTTAATAGTAATAATAATAATTTACTTTTTATTCTTTTATTCAGAGTTTTCATAGTCCCTATCTTGTTTATCCATAGTCATATCACAGATTACATTAAACATTTAATATAATATGTGGTCATATTTTCCCCATTTCTTATTCCAACTATATATAGGTGTTCATATTATCCGTTCTCCAAACATAACCTTTTTTTAATTTTTAATTAGGAAATAATATACTATAAATTATCATGTAGAATATATTATGCATTATAGGCGAAATTTACATATTCATATATGTGTAAAATGATTCATTAGTGACTAAAAAGAGAAAATTAATATCCTTACTTCAATTATAAATGGCAAGTGATACTTAAGTTTTTAGACATTAATTTTATTTTATATTGCTCGTATTAAAAATGAAGAAAATGTTTTTTTCTCATAGTCAATATTTATCGAAAACGACTATAACATAATATGTAATAAACTTAATATATATATGACAGAAACGTGCTATGAATAACAAACGACGCTCCGTGTATACAATTTGGGTACATCTGTAAAGATAATTTTTACGCCATACATAGAAATGTAATTTATATATTGTAGTACTACATATTGTAACGATCAGGGACTGAAACCTATTGGGTTTTACGGTTCTGGTTGAGGTTATTACATTTAAGTGTTTTGGTGTTATTTAAAAAAAATAAGGGTCCCTACATTTTTAGGGTTAACAGGTACATTTCGATTCTGGTTCTGATTCCTGCTTACAATATCATTACCGTAAAAGTGTTTTTATTATTGAAAAATAAGAATATCACATATTTATTATTATATTATATTCTGGTTAATACATACGAGTATATAATAAAAAATATTTTTAAAGCGATTCAATAGATATTTCAAATTCTTGAACACTTCAAAAGTCAAATAAATATTAACCAATTTAGCATTACTTTAAAGTTATACCTTAGAAACTGTGGAAATTATTAAATTATGATTTAAAATGTGGCAATATAAAACTTGAATGCGAAATAACCATCAGAAAAAATTTAAAACTACCATTATACTGTAAAACCAACATATTATTTGACTAGCTTACAATCTAATGCTAGAAATGTTTTATTATGGATTGGTACGTACCAATGACAGAACACTCGTATCCGTCTCCTTCGTAACCCGAATTGCATTGACACTTGTATCGTTGTTCCGATGAAATAAAATTGCACTGGGCATGAGCATGACAATTATTCATCTCGGCACATGTAACTGTAACCATTATTAATAATAACAATAACACTCTTGAGAAGTATTGTATATGGTCTTAAAAAAAAAAAAAAATTGAAAAACTAACTTTCGCAGAAGTAAAAAAAAAAAATTATTACAAAATTATTTTATTAAATAATTTATATTATAAACTTTAAAATTAAAGGTAAAATTTAAAGGTAGTTACGCATTCCTGAAATGGAAGTATGCCTTACTGACATTAACAAACTATCAACAAAAATCGTAAAATATATTTTTCATTAAACTATAGTCTAAGCTATATTCTCTATAATCACAATGGGTTAGGTTAGGATTTAGTCCCTGCCAAATTAGGATATCCGATATGTTAGAAATAGCCATTCACAATGTTCACACATTCAGTCTACTTCAGGAATTTATATTCACGTATTAATGGATAACTTTCCTCGAATATTCGTTTTATAACATGACATTTTTAACCTTGGCACTCTTTATGGCACGTCAAGTATCTATACATTTTGTTTTTAATAATACAATTGTAAAAATCATTTTTTTTTTTATACTCCTGTGAGAAATATTGCAAGTTTTTCCATTTTCCCGGAAAAACTTACTCGATGATTCTGGAGTTGTATTGTCATTTTCGTATACCGTTGTGGTCAACGGAACATCTTTGTGGGGCACACAGAATTCTCCAACGTCGATGTGTGTTGGTGCGCACTGACAAGCATCTGCTGTACAAGCTTTACGCTCGGGGCACCCTTGACCTATGAATATCTGTCCTTCTAATCGACATCTGGGAGCTGTATAATATTATAACAGTAATCCAATAATGGTGTACGGCAAACGCTATTGATATCATGACGTGTACTTACATAGCGGTAAACACCTAAGTCCGTCTCCGATGAAACCTGGGTTACATGTGCACGAGTAACTACCCGGAAAATTGGTACAGTAACTGTCCCTATGACAGACTTCCGGTACGTTGCATTCGTTGACGTCTACGCACTCGAAATCGGTAGGATCGACCGAGAGCAATCGTATTTCATATCTATGTATGTACATTCAAACAACGAACATGAGTTAAAACTAGAAAAATACACCACGATAATATTTTATAAATCAAATAGTATGTGCGCATTTAAGTCCGTTGTTAAACGAAATGTCCTTTATGCGTTATTCAGCATTGTCATAGTGCTTGTAACATTCGTAAATTTGAGTATATGGAGTTCAAGTTGAATTAGATTAGATTTAAATCATAATTAAGAACACAAAACGAATATAATTAAATACAATGTTCCGAGCCACTCAAACCCACGTTCACACCATACACTCACCGCACCATCATTTTAAAATTTGGCTCTCAAGCTATTTTCAGTGTTCTATCTTCGCTATATATACTGGTGAGGATATATTGTATCTCCTTTTTTTATTTTGAAAAATATTTACGATAAATTAGTCTAGTATACTGAATTCGATTTTACCCTAGAGTATTATAATTTTTTTCTAAAATAAAAGCAGTGGTTATAATATCGGACTGTGGCGACAGCGGGTGCAAATGTGGGTGGCCCAGAACACACTATTACATTCTACTAATATGCTCATTAATGTCCGGGATAACCGTTATTGAGTAATTTAATTATAATGTCAACAATAATGTATGGTTCAACTCGCCCTTGAATGCAGGAACAAGTGCTGATGTTACTGGGCACGTCGCACACGCTGTTTTCGATGTTGTAATTTCTCGACGGTGTTTCTAGAAAAATACAAATATTGTTGTCAGGCTTACCGATTAAAAAACGATGTCCCACTATCTGTCGACTGACTTTACCTTTGTTATGATAATATTACATCGCGCACCTCCGCAGAAAGCGAAGGATACAACGATTGATACATGGGGGGGAGGTTGGGAGGTAAACTGACCCACAGTTTTTTTTCGGTATTCGTCAATTGCGCCGAATTTGAGACACTACCTGTATAGTATTGCGCCGGTATAAAAAGAGTATATTAAAAAGGTATACATCTATTGCGCCGGTATAACAACTATGCAGTAAAAGTAAAAATCATAATAACTAAAAACAAAAATTATAATATTTTTGAGGAACATCGAAATCGATCGGATTGTTCATGTGATTGGTAATCGAGGTTGTCGAGGAACACGCGGATATGTTGTTCTACACGTTTTGAGATCGCGTACTGGTCACAATGCATATTTCCGCAGTACTTTTGCAGTGCTACAGAATTCGATCCACGCGACGTGTTCTAACGATACATGATTATAATAACATATTACAACATTATAATGTATTACCTGCGGTGGTTGATCTGACGGCTACGGCCGTGGCTCCGCAATAATAGCCGTTGCCTTCGTAGCCCGGTTTGCACTGGCAGCTGTACCCGCCTACCTCGTTCACGCAAATCGCGTTCGAATCGCATCGGTCCACCCTATCCTGGCATTCGTTCACGTCTACGCATCCGGACTCCAGACCGTACAGCGAGTGGAACCTATACGGTTTCAGACGTTACGTGCTATTCACCAGAACAATTAGTGCCCCAGTGCCGGGTTATGCACGTGAATTGTCAACCCCTGAGCGGTTAACATTTCTCAACCCCCCCTCCCACCCCCGGAAAATCATATTTCCTGCGTACGTGCTATTAATGTTTTACCAGCAAATATATACGCTACCACGTAGCAAGAAAATTGATTGATTCACTGTCGTAAACTAAACGAGGGGAAGAGGTTCATAAATTATAGAACTTGTGTAGTTATTCGTTTAAAAGTGGATTAACATTTCACTCGCTCCTATTGTTTCAAAAAAATATGTTACTCGTGTGTTTTTTAAAAATTACAAACGAATCGCTTTGTCAATCGACAAAAACTTACGATGGTAATGGTCGCCGCCAGATAATATATACGTTGGCAATAAAACATGTATCAAAAAACATTTATATTTTATACTGTGTGCAATGCAGTATTACGCTCGTAGTGATTTCTGTTTCGCAAATCATTAAATGAAATGCGTGGACAAAAAAAATTAATATTTTTCCGTTTCCTTGGGTCCCCCAGGTGGGCACTCACTCCGCTTATTGGGTAATCTACTAGTCCGGCACTGTGAATATTACACATGGTTATTAACGTTACCCTAAATTGCATTCGCATCTGAACGTGCTTCCCTCCCGGACGCACGTGCTGTTCGCCACACATTTCGCGTGGCCGTCGCTACAAGGGTCGTGCGCGTCTTCTGTCGGACACAAAAAAAAAAATATCATTTAATAAAAATGGATTTCCGTTCGTGAGGCATCCGATACTGACGTGCATGTTGGACCATACTTATTCGGTTGTTATTCAGTTCACTTATACAGAATCACTTTATAAAAGCCGCTTATTAGGAACACGGATAATTGATACAATCGGCATTATTGAAACAGAATGTCTAGGAATGGATCGGCCATAAACTAATATATTATAAATCAATTCGATTATTGAGACAACACATCGGTTATTTGAAACAATAAGGGCCTAATTCGTCGCAAAATGGTTATTTGATATTAACCAATACATTGTAATTAAAATGTATTTTGTCATATGTCGTTACGATTAATACCAGTCGAACACTCAGAGAAGTGTACGAAAATGGGATCGTTGTGAACTCGCAACTCGACGTTGCGGAGGTTTCAACAGAAGAAGAGATCTGTAATGCGGTTATGAATTCTCAAATAATTTAACATGTTGTCACTGTCGATGAAGAAGAAAAAAACGACGCATCCTCGTGAAGTACAAAAATTGTAGAAGTTCTAAGTGTCCTCAAGAGAGCAGTCCTGACAACGTGCGGATGTAAAAGGCTTTGGAAAACATTATTCTTACGAAACTGTGATCATCAATGTGATAATTTTTTCTCGAATCATATATTTTTTTCATAATAAATAAAACTAATCACTTATTAAAAACAATCGGTTAACCAACACATTTCACTTTGGTCCAAAATTGTTTCTATTAAGCGACTTCTAATGTAGTATGTGATCATTCGAAAAATAATAACCTAATTTAATAATTTATAAATGAACTAGCGGACACAACAATAGATAAATGTTTCCAGTTATTTCACCGATATTTAAATTAGTGTTTAGGTACGCTAATTGCACGTTACCTACACGTAATTGTATCAAATATACGCTTTTGAATGTACAATAAATCATCGTTACTCACCGAACGGCAGGTATATGTTGTTGGTGCTGACGAGTCGCAGAATGTTGGCTTTTTCCTCGTAATATGCATACGCTTTGGAGTTTTGTAACAAAAACGACGTAAAATCCCTGATAGCTTTGTTGCACGGCTGTGCGAATTCGAATTTTTGTGCCACAGTCACTTGCTGTTCGAAATCGGATCCTTCTTGTTTGTATCTGTAAGTGTAGTAGGAGTGCATACGACCTGTATACGAACAGCAATAATAAATATTTTTATGTAAACCATGCGTAGAAGACAGGCATCGTTCGTATATTAAATGATTAAAAACTACGAATAAAATAAGAACATAAGTTGTTTAAATGGCATTGTCCTAAGACAGAATTGCGGATCCTCAACTGCAGTTACTTATAACATCCTTGCACAAAATAAGGATTGAACAATTTTAGCACATCGTCAGTGATTCAGGAGCGTTTACTTGAGGCGCCCGGATTCGGCAAGAATATTTGTGATTTATTGTAAAGCGTAAATATTCACATTCGATATAATATTGAAGTAGGTTTATTGCGGTATCTTATATAATATTTTAATGTTCACTTAGATGTGTGCACTAAATATATATTTTTTTTTTTTTTTTTTATTGATCTAATAAAATGCCCGACAACTATGGTCATTAGCTACAAATATGAAATATACAATAGTTATTTACAATTTTTAGGTATTCTTATATATACATTGAGAGTTAACATTGAAATTACAGAATAGGTGAGGTTACATAGTGTAAAGTCAGGTTATATGTTATTATATTAAATTGTAAAGGCCTGTCAATTTCAGAAATTTTATCATCTTGAAGTTTTCTTCGGTGTTGGGTCCCAGTGCGGTGTCAAGTGATGAGTCTAGTCCGATGATTTGACGATCGCGTTGGAATTTTAGGCATTCAGTTATGATGTGTTTTACTGTTAGTTGGACACCGCAGACTTCACACGAGGGTGGTTCTTCCTTTGCCGTTAGGTACCCGTGCGTAAGTCGCGTGTGTCCAATTCTCAATCGGTTTAGAACCGATTCTTCTTTTTTTTTTTTTTTTTTTTTTTTAAATATATTTTATACCTATATATAGCGACGATAAACTCCCCGAAGTATGTATTAATATAATAATAATAATATTATTATAAATTAATAATGATGTATAGGACTTTGAAAAACGATTTGTATACAAATTCGTAACGCTTAACCACCGCCAACAGTATAACCAAATATTATTTACAATTTATATTTATACCAAATATTAATATGTACCTTTTGAAATCGTATACTGTTGCTGATCATTGGGCAATGTGAATCTGGTGTGCGGCAATGGGACCTGAGGCGTCGTCCCTTGTACGGTTGCATCCATTACTAACTGATCGAAAGAGTTGAGACCGAAAAATCGTTGATGAATCGTTATCCTGTGTTCGGTGCCCGGAAAAGTTACTTCAGCGGTGTAGTTAACCACTCCACCTAAATATATAAATCGGGAGAAAAACAAAATTACATTGTTTTCAAAACTTTGCATGTCTCCCCTAGGATATTTCAAAAGTACTATTTATACGTGAACAATGTACATAATATTAAAATAAAATAACACTTAGTTTCTAAAATAAAATAATATTAATTGACTATTGCCGGATGATTGGAGACAATTCTTTCAATCGTTTGCGTTAACGAATATACCTTTGACCTTTAGATTTTGTTTTGTAAAAAAGAAAAAAAATACATATTAAAACCCTATCCTTTATAATTTAAATACGAGTACATTATAATTGATATTTTGATATCTTTCCTCTCCGGTCGAAAAAATTCCATTCACGCTACTGCACTTACCCGTCAACTGGTATCCGTTGAACGCGTTCTCCGAGTGCAACGAGAACAGCCAAGCAACGACCGAAGGGAACACGGACAGGTATTGCATTTCGAAACCAAGATTGGTTGGCACGCTCGACATAGCCATGTATACGCGACCGTCCGCCGTGGCAACATACGCTTGCAAGTCCGATTCCGGCACGATAATCCCGTTGACGTCGATACTGACTTTTCCACTGACGCGGATGGGGACATCTATTATGTATTATTAATATCATATATAATAAACATTGTACAGATCCGCATTTACCGCAATAGATTTTTGCGAAAAAAACAAATACGATTTTGGCACAATAAAATTATGTGTACAGACACATAGTAGACGCTCTGTTAGAATTATTGATTAATAGATAACTAAAATATTAAATTAATTCTCCTGTCGAAGTTGTCAAAATTATTTAATGTTGATAAATGAGTCAATATTAACCGTTTATTAAATATTAATTTACTGTGAACAATTGAATCATTGTTGCGGTAAGTTAGGTATTTTAATCATTTATGATAATTTAAAAAGATTTATTCGCCATTCATCGAATTTAAGTGATTTTGTAACATTTCCAAATCAATATCAGTTTTCAAAATATTTTTAGTAACCAAAATTTCTGATCTTCAGGAAACTTTGTTAACACCAAACAAATCTTATAAGTTCTCATATAAAAGTTAATTTTCAAAAGTAATTGGTAAATATTATTTTTAAGCAGATTCAAATTTTCAATAAAACTGTCTAGCACAATTTATCATTAATACGTTATAAATTAACTATAGGAAGGTAGTTAAAAAAAAATACTTCTAATTATAATTACTATCGTAATAAAATAATTAGACGAAAACAACATAAATAACATTTAATTTACGAGTACATTTTTGGGTGTTTAGATTCAATCAGGGGATTAAGTATCCTAAATTCCGTTCTATTTGTGCCTATAGGTTATGATTCATAATATAACTATTGAATAATATTATTTATTAGGTTTAAACATAATTATCAACTCTTACTTTCTTTGATACAAGTGATGCCGTTGCCAAAGTACCCTTGCTTGCATATACAACACATGTCTCCTTGTTCGTAATCCACGCACGAGGCTTGGTTGTGACATAACGCTCCGGCCACCGCACAGGTCAAGCCTTCGTCTGTAACCGGAAGACCGCAGTAATAACATAAAATGTTGAATCGATAGGCCAATAATATATAGTAGTATATTATTATTCGATTCGTAAGCGTATTGTTGTCGCAAAACAAGTAATCTCGGTCGAGCATTGGATTTATCCGTATTTATCTATTTATCTATTGGTCATCAAACTTTTATTTAACACTGCACAGTACGTGATCTTCTTAATTATTTCGCGATACATCTCAGCCATAAGCTACTACTTTTTAAAACCCTCGGTCATTATTTATTTATTTTTCAAAAGATTGTGACACCCTGTTTGCAAACTACTGATGTAGGATATTTACCTGGTCTCGATCTTGCAGAAAACTCTGGTGGTTCCACGTTCTCGTTCGGTCCTATGTTACCCACCCTGTACATCCAAACTCCCGGTGCGTCCGTATTACTCCATCTAAACAATATCCAATAACGAATACGCGTTTTACCATTATTGTATAGTTAAAATAAAAATATTTATCTTTTTTTAACGACATTTCTACTGTTACACGCGGCGTTATGTTGTGGACAACTGTACAGATGAAACTTGCAATGAATTATTATTAATTTTTGCATTACGTACTAGTATATTTTTATGTTATAAAAATATAATTTTCGACACAAGGTGTTTTGTTGAATTTTTTTCTTGTTAAGATCAATAACCGACAACGAGTCGAATCGGAAGAAGTGAACTTTGTGAACTTTAGATATTTCCTTATCGGCTATTGTTTTTTATACAGACATTTTCCGACGTTATACACGTATTTAATATACAAGCATATTATATTACATGTAAAGCCAAACAATGCGATAAAATAGAAATTACAAAGTTTTTTTTTATTTTACTGTTATTTAGGCTAAGCGTATATATACATACATGTAATACGTATATTATCAACAGTGTATAAATAAAAACCAATGGTTAAAAATTAAATAGGATATCGAAAATAATTAATATTCGATAAATGAAGAAAAAAAATGAATAACTCAATGTCTTACAATATAGCGAATTCGCTTTCAGTGGAACCCATTATATATTATTGGATGAAATCTTAGAGTGATCCGACCAATTATTAAACTTAAAAAGAAGAACATTATCGGCGTTCGTATGTTAACTTTTTAAGATATTTTAATTTTCAAACGAATTATATTGCTTGTGTAAAGTGTTAAATTTTAAAAAACTCATAATCCGTTTCAAAATTAAAATATCGTCAAAAACCGTTTGTACAAACACATACCATGTTATTCCCTTTAGTTTGATAATACATCAGTTTACTCTTCTCATATTAAAGCTTGACATAACATAAATTAGGTTCTATCGAACGCTACATCGTATGTTTGTAAGACGATACATACTACGGGTGTGGTGTGTTCTTACGTAGAGTATTTTCAGTAAATGAGCGCGTTTTGTATTCCGTTACAGTATATGAATATATACAAATGTGGGCATTAACTAGTTAAAAAGTCAATTTTTTTAAACTTTTTAACTTAACTGGTTTAATTGTTTGTTGAAATAACTAAGCTTTTCACAGTTGATTTAAAAATGATCTATCAAGTTAAAAAATGTTGACATTTTTCCTTTATACGTAAATTAAATATTAATATAAAAATTAAATAATTAAAATGGTCGCATACACTGTATATCAGATGTCATATTAGATTTTGTAGGTTGGAAGCCCACCTTTGGGTATTGGGTTCTGGCCGTGGATACAGAATGTTATGTACCAATAATTTTAACGATAAAAATAAATGAATACGGTAGTGAATGGCTCCTTGATGTACAATATCATAGAGTTTTTTTAAACACTTCGACGTCACTGATGTATATTATGATAAAAAATTCAATAAAAGTATTTTTTATAATTTAGGAAATTAGATGTTTCTAAATAACGCAGTCACTTTTTATGTGATCTACATAAGTAGATAAATTTTTTTCTAAACCGGGTTGAGTTGATATTTTTTTCCTTATTCAATTTTAAACTTGTCGATCTTGTGTTCTCTAACCGAATTTAACTTAACACTTTTGTATGCATATATATATATATATATATAAATCAATGATTTAATCATAAACTGTTGAGTAACGAATTGGAAAAGTTTCATTAGTAGATGGACTCTCGCGCGCGCGCCCACGCGCGTACCGTATTCGAAGAGGGATAAGAGGTGTGTGTATACCTGTCCAGGTTGTGTATTTGATCGCTGCCGGAGCCGCGGAGCACATGTATGCGCCCGTCGGCCGCGCTGAAGCCGGCCTGCGCTTTGGCATCCGGTAGCCCGACCACGTTGAGACCGCTGAACGACTGGACCCATTGGATGGGCGACGGGTAGATGAACTGCACGAACGACTCGGCGCCGTCCGTGGCGATGGCCACCTGGAACGTGTTGGTCTTGTCCGCGTTCTTCTTGTAGTAGCCCACCTGGTGCCACGTGGCCACGAACACGGCGGCCGCGGCGAACCGGCCGGCGTACCGCGGGTACAGCCGCGCGACCAGCCCGTCGGCCACGGCCAGGGTCCGAGGGTCCGCGGCCACGCGGTAGTACACCTGGCCGCTGCCGCGCAGGTCGACGTTGCCGTAGAACGCGGCCAGCGCCGGGTAGTCGAGAGGGAACGGTACGTTGTAGTACGTCGGCATCTCCATGTTGAACGATACCAGCCCGTTACTGTTCACCTGCGCAACGCGACACACCGCAATCGTTATCGAGCCTGATGGTACCGGTACCGCGCGCGCCCAAAGGATGTTCGTGAACTCACAGCCCGGGACCGTAACTGTAACCAGAGGTGGAACTAGGGATGTTTACGCCCGGAGGAAATGTTAAAATTATGATCAATCATAGACCAACAATCAAATACTCTTTTCGAGAGATTTTTTTCAAATAATTAATATACAATCGTACTTAATGAGTTTTAACCTAATATAAATATTTAACAAAATTAAAAATACCAAATTAGTTATTATTAATAATTACAAAAATTACACCCTCTAAAATGTTACACCCCAGGATGAATCCCCATCTTTAACCCTTTAAATTCCACCCCTGACTGTAACGTCGCGAGCTATGACCGTCGGATTACCGATGAAATGAAATGTCGTTAGTTCGATGTAGTGAACGTTTGAGTTCACTTCTTGAAACAATATGAACGCGTACGTTTGAAGAAAAAAAACTTAAGGTTTCTATTTTTTTTTTTCTTGTCAATATTATATATTATTCGTTGCGATATTATTTTATTGGTGTATCTCAACAAATATTCATGTACAAACGAAGTTGTCATGGACTCGGAACAGTTTGCATCAACCCTCCGGATGGTTTTGAAGTAGACCTGTTCGGTCGCGTACACCCCGTGTTCCAGAAAGCCGATTCGTGACGAGTCCCGATTGGGTGGGGTTGGGAAGATATTTTGTGTAAGCACATTGTTTATTGCGCGTTCCTTAAAACTCGAAACTGACTCGTGGGTTAGAGCAGCGGTGCGTAACATTTTTTGATCATCAACCCTTAAGTTAATTTATTTCGATTTGGCGGGATGCCCCCTTCCTACCAACATTGTGTAAGCGTATAATATATATTTACCTAATACAAACATTTTCTTTGTATAAATCGTTCTTTTTAAGCTATTTTAATATTTCTTTAAATGATTCAATTTAAAACATTTTTTTTAAAAAAATACAAAATTAGAGTTTTATCAAATCTAAATAAAAAATTATATAAAATAATATATATCATTTTTATTTTGTGTTAAAATACTGACGACCCTCAGGTTGTACAGTACTGGGTTAGATCCATCTCTGTTTTAATTATTTGTTCGTCTTCTCGATTCATTCAAAAGTAGATACTAACACATCACATCAAAAAACTCTTTAAATTTTACATTTCTTTGATTAGTTTTTCCATTTCCTATCCACATTGATTTTATACATTATTGAAACTTAGCATTTTTGGTTATTTTAGTAACACCTTTCCTCTTTACCTACACCACGAATACAGGTGCGGATACATGAGGGTGGGGCCATGAAGACTGAAGCCCCCCTCCCCACTCAGACATTAAGTAGAACCATATCGGACACAAGTACTTAAAATATTTAAACAAATTAAATGTAAGAAAGACTTCGTATAAGTCGACATACGGTAACGAATTGTGGCAGTAACTCACTTTACTAGCCTCTTTTTTTTCATTTCTAGATCCGCACCTACACTGATGGGTATTATTAGAATATGAACAATGTATGGTATTCGCCAATGGCCATCGTTTAACTTTATTGTTAAAATTAGCGAAATATTAATTGTATTCACCGAACCAATATTTGATCTGATATTTCGATAAAAGTAAAAAGGCTAAAGTGCAGTTTACAATAGCCGAATACATAAGTTTGACTAATTTAACACATATCAATCATCGGGGTTATAACGAGAAATACGATGTTCTTTATTGTACAAACATATGATAATTAATTATTTGTTTATTCAACATAAAATGTAAACTGTGCACATGATAAGAGACATCGAAGATGAATATTGGATGATTTGACCGAAAACTGAAAGTAATTGTATAATATGTATCATTGAACTTAAACTCGCATATTATTTTTATCTATATTGATAAAAATACCACACCAGCCAGTTACCGCGATAGGAACTACGTGGATATTAATTTATAGTTGTAAAAAATGCACAATATGCTTGTCTAAATTACAAATGTTAAATTTAAAAGCAACACTTCCGAAAGCGTTATCTTTTAGTCATATTTGTTTAACCTTTCTTCAAATTTTTATAATATATGTACGCATCTATAACTAGTGTAGTTGAGAACATTCAGTTTATAAATCAATCAACTAATCCTCCAATATGGGTTTAAATAATTATAACAGCTTAACATGTAATTTAAAAGTTTAATGGTTAATTTAAAAAAATGATAAACAATTTTACTATTTTATTATTCATTTCCATTATTCATCTCACGAATATCCCTAAATATTAAGCATTGATAAAACTCCACAGAAACGTCCATCGTTTTAAATGGACTAATTAATTAGAAAACTCTGATACATCAGATTCAATTGTGATTGCGATAGTTTTGAAACAAATGATTATTTATTAAAGTTTAATGAACCGTTAGAAATCACCAATTCTATTACAACATATAAACCCACTATAATTACACACCAAACCTACAATAGGTACGCGTTATCTATTCAATTATTTTTACAACTTACACGTATCTAATAGATTTTAAGTAGTGATATTAAGCTAAAAAAAAAAAGAAGATTTATTGCTATAGGTATGTATTTCATTCTATTTTATGTGAAAAGTTTGCTTTAGTAAATCATGTTTGGGAAGATATATTAAATTAATTATAATTATTATTATATTAAGATTTATTATACTTGGAAAGATTTAACTATTTTCTACCTATAGTAAATAAATATATAGTGATTGTAACCTTATAATCCAACTTATTCTAAAAACTCATGTTAACGTTTAAATTAAAAGAAAAAACTGGTCTTGAGAAAAAAACTAGTAGGTAGTACAAGACTCAGTGTAACCAACCTATATGTATTAAATATATAGCCATAAAACGATGGCTCAAAATATACATGTCTTAGGGATTCTCAAATTCTTCTTTTAAACTAAATATTAAATACAGACATTTTATCAACAATAGTTTTTAACTTACGAAAACTGTATCGTAAGTCTCATTGTAGAACTTCACGGGCACACTAAGTGGAATGCCCGGACTAGCAACCTCGTAAGCTACTCGTAACTGTGAATCCCCAGCGGTCGGTCCATAAGGGTAAACTATTTGTGTAGAATAGTTTATCCCAAAGGCAAAAATTATAAAAAAAACCTGTAACAACTCACTGAACCGATCCATTGTTTTCTTTAAACTGAAAGACTTCATAGCTGTTACATTTCTCATAATATGCTTGTAGTAGGTTATCTACCAAATTTTTTTATTTTATTTTATATTCAAGTTCAATAGTTCAAACTGATAAATACCTACCTATATTTTTTTTAGTATACAGAAACGAAAATCAGTAATATTAAAATAGTTTTAATATATTGAATATTATACACATACACATACACATATCAACACACACACACATATATATATATATATAACAATTAGTCCAAAGGTTTTTAAAGATAAAAAAAAAAGGTTTTTATGTACATATTGATTTTCACTACAGATTACCACTACTCTATAGATTCTTTAATTTTCTGTATAAGAAGTTTAACTTCCGGAGATTCATCTGCGATAAAGTTCATTGAAAACTCATTGTATAAATTCATAAATGAATCCAATTCTTCAACAGCTCTTAAATCTAAACAATAAATAGTAATTAATGAAATAAATCTATATAATTTATTTACTTTCTAAATGAAGATTAGGTGGTAATAAATATTCTATACAATTTACAATCATTAAATACACCGATATAAAACTAATTTAAATTATTATTGGTACCTATATAACTCATATAAATCATAAATTATATCATCATAGTCATGCAAAATCTGACAAAATGTATTTTATAGTTTTTTGTAATATCAATATTAGTTTTAAATAATATTTAAAAAATGCAATTTATATCTATTTTTATTAAATTAGTTATCATTCAAATTGTGATGTTATGTATAACCATTGATTATAAATACTATTTATATATACTATATAGTAATACATAGTAATATGTACTATTCATATAAAAAATAGTAAAATTAATATAATTAGTTTTGTTCCATTTCTTTTGTTTGAAGCTTAATTTAAAAATAATATATAACTTTTTTTTATGTGACTACGGTGATAAACAAATAATTTGATAATCATGCTCATTTTTTAAATACAGAAACTTCTTATGAACCATGAATATGGTATGTATATGTATATATACTATGTACATATATACTATGTATTGTTAAATTATAAATACATGCATATTTTTACTTTAATATTTAAATTCAGTAATTAAATGTAATGAAAAATAAATAATAGACAAAAGATGAAATAAAATTATTAAGTAATTTGGACCGTAATTATTTAAATGTACACAAATATCAATAAAGAAATGATTATTAAAATATAATTCTTTATATTTAAATATACTCATACATCAATTTTAATATTTGAAAATAAAACTAAATACTGGAAATATTTAAACTGCAATAGATATTAAGTATTTAATTAAGTAAGTATTTAATTAATAATGAAGCAATGAAAAAAATTGAATTTTTTAAGTTTGTAACTTGACAAAAGAAATGTAAAACCACATCTTACTTTTTAAATTAGTTATCACCAATAAATAAACCTCCAATGATAATTTTCTCAAGCTTATATTTTTAGGGACACCTGAAAGAAAATATAGAACTTCATCAAATAAACAAAATATTTAACTGTTATAAAATAATAGGGATATATTTTTCACTTACCAAAAGAAAAGTGTAAAGTTCTTCTCACATGACTAAGTATGTACTTAAGCTCATGTTTGTGACTGGCATGCAATTGAGCAAAACCCAAGCGCTCTATCACTTTCAAAAGCGTACCCATAATAGCTAATTGTAATGGTCTAGTATTGTTTTTTAAGTGATCAGCACATTGGGCCACAACTGTTTCTCCAAATTCAACTACATATACAAAAATGTTCCGATTTTAATCCATAGTAGATAAGATTTAACATTTAAATTTGGTAGATTTAAATAAAATTACCTTGAGTTGCTAAGGTATAAGGCCATGCCTTCCCAACTAACGAGAACAAAGATTCTTTAAGTTTTAAATTTTGTGATTGATTATCAACATCTGAATCCTCTGAGCTCTATATATATTGTAAAAAAAAAACCAAATTGTAAATTAATATTATAATATCAGCAATTTTAGGCGAGAAAAAACTTACTTTTTGTATAATATGCATAACTAATTGATAAGTTTGAGTAAAACGATCAATTTTCAATTTTTCCAAAAGCTCACCAAGAGTTTTTAAAGCAATCATTCTGTAATTTATATTTTCCTTCTTACATTCATTAAAAACCAACTCTACAATTTCTTCATTTTTGCATGTTTCTGCAGAATCGCTGAAAATATTAAAATGGTTTATAAGATAATATTGAAAAGTGAAATTTCAATACTTGTAAAATGATTTTAAATTTAATTTTACCTGGAACTCAAATTTAATTGTAATAAGGCTTCAAGTAAGAATTCTTTTCCACTCCAAGTACGGCCAGCTAAACCAGTTTTAATTGTCTCTATAAATCTGTTACGATGTTCTTCATTTAAATGCCGACCAAGTATATTAGCTGCATCACCAATTGATCTTGCTGCCTGCAACATATAACATAAATAAATTAAATGAAACGAACATTTTATAGCATTTCTAAAATATAAACATACTTGAGCTTTCATTGCCCAAGACGAAGATTTAATTGCAATACCCAAAAATTCATAAACAGAATCTAAATGACGTGATAGTACACCTTCAGTATTGTGTACATTATCTTCCCAAAGTTCTTTCCATATATCATGACTTTTATCTGTTGCAACTACTTCGTCACCTTATAAAAAGTAAATAAATTTTTAGATAACAACTAAAAATGATAATTTAAAATATTACTTTCAGGCTGTTTATAGTGAGTAGCAAAAAATATTAATGGTATAATACTGCCCAAGTATAAATCTGGCTTTTCACATTGACTTATTCCTTTTAGAGAATATCCAACAGTTTGTCTGATACTTTCATCTATAAATAATATAATTTAAAAAATGCGTAAGAAATGGTTTAAGAAATGTTCACCTTCATTTTCCATGTACACATCTTTTAATGATAGAATTAACTTGTTTACAGTACTCTCTTTTGCTATTGTAGTAATTACAGCTATAGTGGAAGCGTAGCTTTTTCGAATTGTAGTATTCCGATCAGTAATGCCTTTCATCAAAGGTTTTAAAATTTTATCTAAAAAAAAAAAGTTCATTTTTATCTAGATTATCTATTATTAAAACCAATGTATATAATTTACCTAAAAATTTAGAATTTAATTGTTGATGTTTTTGAGTGATTAGCAAACTAATGAAATGTGACGTGGCCACTTTGATAGGTAATCCAATATTGGTGGTTAAAAGATCTTGTAAGAGTGGTATCAAATCATGTATTACTGATTCATCAATATAAAGTAAACTCTGAAATAAAAATATATTTATAAAGAAAAAATATTTTAATAGATGATTCTTTTTTATATATATCTAAATACCTTAGATAAAACATCACTTGAACTAAGAGTTCTTGCTTCAGCAGCACGGCGAGAGTCTATAATTTCTTGAGTGTTAGGATTAGCTCCAAACATAACACTTAATGCACCCAAATCTGGTGATTCCATTTTATCAGCTCCTCTCAATAATGCAATAATTAACTTAGCTAAATCTCCTTTTAATTGTTCACCACAGTTGACGATTAATTGAGATATCATATCCATACTAAAATATAATACATATTAAATGTTTAGTACAAGTGAATGAATATAATATTGATTGCAATTAATTTTATAAAAATCTTAAATTAATTTAGTTTACCTTACTGCACGGATACTTGATTCTGTGTGATAGAGACCTTTGTCCAAAATGATAGGTAAAAGTAGTTGAAGCAATTGGGTATTGGTGGTACATTCATTTACACATAACTAAAAATTAAGATATAATAAAAAGTAGTAATATAACAATGATAAAACAATAAGATTTCTCATGTTTCATAAAAACTGTACATCTACAAAAAAGTACTATGATGTCGAGCAGTAAGAAATTTGCATAAGAGTAATTTGTTACAAACTATTAAATGATTATACCAAAGATAAAATATATTTTTATGTTAATTTATACATTAATTTTTTGAACCCACGAAATTAGCGAAAAATAAATGTTAACCTTTGATAATGTTTTTGCTGTAGATGTAGCGGCTTTTCTAGTGCCTTCGTGAATATCATCCATTACTCTAATGAGTTGTGTCCATGCTTCAATTGTCAGATCTAAACATTTCTGCAAAATTTATATCATAAGAACTTAAGTTCATTTACATTTACATTTTTTTTTTTTTTAAACTAAAAATTTAAAGTAATAGAACAAACTGTAAATATTTTATCTCCTGTATACTGCAAAAATGAAGGAAGAGCTTGACAAACAGAAATCCGTACCCGCCAATCAGGACAAGTTATATTTTTCACTAAATCTACATAAATTTCTTTATAATACTTATCAACCTAGAAAAGATTTAAAAATAATATTAAAATACACAATCCACAGCTTAACTTTGAATTTAACAAAAATCTTGTACACAATAAAAAATAACTAACTGTCAAGCGTGTATCTAACACTAGATAACTCCAAATAGCACTCATTGAAGTCTGTACTATTGGTGTTGGATCATGTTGATAACGATAAAGTCTTGGTATAATAAATGGTAACTGTTCATTAAGTTGTTCATCAATATCTAACTTTGATTGAGGTTCCTTCAAATAAATGCAAATATATATATAACTAGTTATTTTAATATTAAAATTATAATTATAAAAACCTTTTTTTTATTATAGTTGGCTAATTGTATAAATTTGTATATTAATTTTGGCCTATTTAGATCAGTTACTAATGAACACAATTCTTTGTATGTTGACAAAATTCCTCTGTAAATTAAGTAAAATATTTATATTTATTTAAAAACAACAAAAAAATGTAATAATAAATATTTATACATTATGACCACTCACCCAGAACTATCTTTAACACTATTTCCAACTGCCATATATTCAGATAATTGTTTTATAAGCAGTTTTAAGATTTGTTCTTTACGTTCTTCAGCTTCATATTCATATACTTGTATCAAAGCCTTAGATGCAATATCTCGTATGTAGTCTAGTGAAATAATAATAATTGATTTTTAATAAATGGAATATTTTATGCATATACGAATAACTATTGTATAGTTAATCAATACATACTATTTTTTTCTGTAAGAAGTGCAACATAAGCAGTTTGGATTCGAGCAAGTTTTTGGTTAACTGATGTTAATGTATGACATTCATTCAATACATTATACATCCATACACAACATGCCTAGGAACAAATATTATTTTATACTTGTTATATTATAAATAGTAAATTCTGAATAAAAAATAAAAATAAAGTAAAATAAATAGTAAAACATTACTTAATAACAGTATTTAGTAATTGTAGTTAATGAGAAATTAACAATGAAGTGTATTTAATAATTTGATATTACATTTATTTGTAAATTGTATTCCTTTAAATAATAATAAATTATATTGAATAAGTCACTACCAACATTTAAGTCATGATTTCATTAATATAATTAGTTGCAAAGTTAATTCGTAATAAATTTTTTTTTTACCTGTTTTGAATTTGGATGATCTTCAGAATTAACTTTTTCTAATATATTATTTAAAAAATAATCTGCTAATTTATCACATTCATCAATAGAAATATCAACAACTATTTTTTTTTTATACTCTTCTTCGGTAAGTGTCCAAAAGTTACGGGACATTTTTGATAGTGGACCAAGTATAGCACAAGATATACTATCACCAATCGACAAATGAATCTCTATATCTTTAGTCTATCAATAAAACAAATAAAAATAATAAAATCAAATATACTTGTTTATGAAAAAATACATACATGTTTTGTTTTTTCTAAATATGCTTCAATAATATCTTTACTTCTTGATGAAGTTTCTCCAACACAAATCAATCCTGTGCATTTGATTCCTTTATTTCTAATCTGAAATATATTAAATTAACGTAATAATCATTAAAAGCTTAAATCTTATAAAATTTTACCTTTGAAAGAGTAGAATTATTGAATGAAATGCTTAAGAGTTTTTTTATTAGGAATGCTTTATTTCTTTCTTCAATTGGTATAGGATTTAGCCTTCCTATTGCACCAATCACATCACAAGCAGCACCAACTATTAATGGACTTGTATCATCAAGTAACAATACTGTAATATAAATAATATATAATATTACAAAAATTATGAATACATAAGGCAAAATAAAATTCAGTATATGTTTACCAAGAGAAGAAAATGTATCTTGCTCAATCAATAGAGGAACATTTTTACTATTAAAAAATCTATATTCATGGATAGAAGATAAAGCATATAAAGAAGCATATAATTCCAATGACTTATTACGATTTTTATCCGTGACTGATGATATTAATGCTTTAATATGTTTATCAAATGTTGTTTCATCCAAAGCTGATAGACTTATACCATATAATATTCCACTTAATTTACGCATATCTTCATTACTTGATACAAATAATTTCTAAAATTGTATTCCATTAAATTTAAGTTTTTTAGAAAAATGATTTAAACTACCTGAATTGTATTCAAATCCTTGATGAACAGGTCTTTTAATTCAATTGGTAATGCTGCGATACATACTAATAAATTATTTAATGGAATAATACTTGGTTTGATTTGTATCAATTGTAACATAAGTTTCACATAACTTTCAATAATATTTGCATCAGACTGATAAACCTTTGACAAATATTTACAAATATCTGGTGTTTGTTTTGATGGATGGTATAAAGTGTTATATGTAACTGGTAGACCAGCACTTAAAGTCAAGCAATGGCTTAAATATTCAGCAATCTAATTGCAAATTTATAAAATTATGTAATAGACAAATATGTAATAACTATGATTCAATATTATTTATAAATTTAAACTTACCTCTAATAAAGCTGACGAGTCATACTGATTACTATTCTCCACTACAGTCATTACCATATCGGGAAACCGAGGTAAAAGCAATGTACTATCATTTTTACCAACAAGATTACCTACTTCATCCACATTATATAATATCTTTTTTAAATTTGTTTCACTAAAATATAATAATAAATTAATATTCAGTTAATATATTTCAAAAATAATATTACCATACCCAACTGAAGATGTATGAGACTGGATCAACAATAATCTTGATCTAGCATCATCGGCGGGAAATAAGTAAGACAAATAGTGAGTAGTTACTTGTTTTACAAGATTGTCGGACATTTTACAATAATGTTCAAGCATTTTCAATATACTAGACAGTTTAGAAGATTCTTTATATGCATTACACATAGAAATTAAACTTGATCTAATACTTCCTTTTAAATCTGAAGAAGGCTCCTAAAAAAATATATAAATTTATAATTAAGACACATTTTATTTTCTATTAATAATTTTTATACTTTTATTAAAGCATCAAAAAATGAAGTCAAAAGCTCTAAATCTTCTTTCACTGCAGTAGGGACTTTAGAAATTAATAAGCCAATTAAAGTATATGTCATCTGTTTTCCATTCAAATCCAACTCAGGTGATTTTAACAATTTTAACAAACCAAAATTTAATATAACTTGAGTGGCTGGAAGCAGAACTTCAGCAGGTTTTCTAAAACAAAAACCAAAATTATAAGTATATTAAACAATCAATTTAATACAATAATTTATAATATTTATCTAGGAATTTTAAACAATTGTTAAAAAATCATTACCAGGGTATGAATAGTACCTATATGCTTATTATTAAAGAATACAGATAAAAATAGCAGAATGAACTATACATTTTTTTTTTTGTACTAAAGCATAAGTGTGCACACGGATGGTACGAGTATACACGTGCCCTACCTGCGACTTCAAATTTATTTTGTAAAATAACTCGAAATATCTGCGTTCACGGATAATTTTCGAGCAAAATTATAATAAAGACCTTGAGTAAAAATGCAGATTGATAAATACATAAAAATATCTAAATATATAGAAAATAAAAGTTGGCACTCAGTAGATTTGAAATATATTCATCCCATTACGTTATTTTATTACGACATAATATAGAAGTTATTCCATTTAACACTTAAAATAAAAATTGAAGTTTTTTGCATATACATCATAGAAATAATCGAGATAATAATAAAGAAATGATCAAAATCGCGCCGTAACTGTTATCTACAAAAGCAGATAACCAATTATTCATTATTATGAAAGCTTCTCAATAAGTGACTGTTTTCAAACAAGAGACAAGTAACTGTAACTAATTGCGCATGTGACAAGTGTTGAAGACTGAATATATTAATAAAGTTACTTACAAGGTCTACTAAAAAGTATACCGATTTTTTTTTTTGTTTTTGAAAAGATAAAGGATGAATATGAAAATAAGGAATGTACCACCTACCAACAATGTCTGCACGCCTATGCATCTGAATCTTGATATGAAATTTGTTCTGTTATATTTTTTGCATATTTGAAGTAATTAAGATATTTAGTACTATTTTTCAAGTTTTGAAGCTATTTTTTTACTAATCTATAGAGTATAAAATTTTATTTCGTATTTTCATAAATCTATTTTATATTAAAATATGATATAATTATCAGTTTATTTTATCATGGTTTATATTATGTGGTATAAAAAATAGAAAAATTTGTAATTTATTTTATTTATATCCATAGGAAAAACACCCACATTTATATTCATATCAAAATCTATTTTTAAGTAGTTCGGCGTATTATTTGTTAATCAAATAGTAAACAATTATGACTCCTGTCGATCTTATCCATTAATTTAATATATTTTTGTCTTGAATATTTTTTCGTACATTCGAACACATTTCAGAATCAATCAGTTCTTCATATCGCTTGATTTCGTTCATAACTCGTCTATGATTTATTTTTCTGTTTCGTTATTAAACGTGAAATATCGGATGATATAATATTGCACTATTCGAGACTTAAGTGGGCTCTCTTTCACTCCGAGAAAGTACAGACCTAACTGTGTTCAAGAAGTGATGGAAAAATTGTTGAAAAATTCTTTTCTATACGCTTTCCATCTATCTATCTATCAAAAATGTTCGTCTAAAGTGTTGGGCGAATATAAGTTCTCACTCGAGATGTAGCAGGTAATAATCATCCTTGGGTTTGCCTAGTTGTCAGTAAGTTACTACACGAATACAATTTATAACAAATACAAATTTCCTTCCCACTTTGTGCACACTTAAAACTGACAATGTAGTTAAATGTTAAAATTTGTTTTGTGTTTTGTAATAAAATCTAATCCAATTTTTAATTGAATCTTGTCCATATACTTATAAATAAAGACCGGATTTAATAGATATTACAACTTTTTATTGATACCAGCTAAATCAAATATGTATACGAAACGGATTAATTACAGTTTTCCTATTCAATTTAATAATGTAATTTTTTGCAATTTTCAACTATATTGCAAATTTTCGCAATTATTGCAGTTTTTGTATACTTCACGTGATATAATATACAAATAATTCTAAAGTAATTTTGGTATAAAAAATATAACTACGACATAAATTTTTAAATGCAGTATATGTATTTTAGCATTTTTAAAATTATACTTATCTAAGTTATCAACAAAACTCAAAAATGTAGAAGAATCAAATAGTCAATTACTTAACAGTTTTAGCATAAAATAAAGTTAAGTAATAGTTTAGTGAAACTGAAAATATTTTGATAAATATTTCCGGTCCCAATACGAAAATAGTTAAAGATAAATTAAAATATGTCTTAGAAAAAATGTAGGATATAAAAATATTAAAACTTGATGATTATATATTTGATATGATTTTACTATGTAATTTTAATATATTTTTTATTGCAATTTTGGAATTTTTTTAGTGCAATTTTAAGTATTTTTAACGGAATTAAATCTGGTCTTTACTTATAAAATAATGTATAGTAATCCATATGTTACATGTATTTTAAATTGTATGTAGCTTATTACAAAAACTCAAACTTTTATCATAATCATACTGTGTTATGTGTTTTAATTTGTATTCTAATTGATATTTTGTTTCTTAAATTTTATTTATTTTTTTTGTTTATTATGTTCATTTTTGAGGTCTATTGGTAGGTATCTGATGTTTTTATTTTGATATATGCATTTGTTTAACATTTTTATTAGGATAATAAGTAAATTCTGAGTGAAAATTTTCACAAGCATTAATTATAGAACTTCTCCAAGAACTCGCAATAGTCCAAATATTATGGGAGAAGGTACTATTTTTCTCTGTGTAATGTCACTAAATAATCGCGGAATTTTTTTTTACTTTATTGTTATTTGATTTTACAGCCACGAAACTATTAACAAAACAATCTACAACTTCTGTTGAATTAAGAAATGATAAACCAAACAAATGTACCAATCACTTCCTTAGGTTATCATTTGTGTTATTAAATTCTAGTGCTAAACCTAAGTTTTGAATTTTGTAGTAGGTATTAAGCTTGGCTTTAAAATACTATCTCAAATGCAATAGGTATGGTTTTCATATTATTTCAGAGTTATTATTAAAATAATTAATTACAAAAACACCACATAAGAAAAATCAAACAATAAACTTACTGTTGTATAATAACTTGAGCAAATTGCAAGGCCAAGTTTTTAAGTCTTTGATTAGTATTTTCCCCATTCCAACAATCAAAAATTATCTAAAACAAAAACAAATAAATAAGAAATTTGAAATACTACAATTTTTGTCTTAATATATATAATTTCAAAACTATTCTGACTTAAAAATATTGTGTGCCTAAACTAAACTTGGTTTGTTACATACATGCAGACATTGTGGCCATATGATTGATTCTTCGCCTCTACTTAAACACAAACTTGGTAATATTTTTAATCGTATCCGTACACAAGCTGGTTGTTTTTTATTATTTGTATCTTGTTTGTTCAAACCGGTAGTGCCAGAAAATAGTAAATATAATGGCATCATAGTAGATGATTTAGACCAATCAATTTCACTAAATATTTTAAAATATTATTAATAAAATATAGTAATTATTTTTTGAAGTAAACATACCAAGTAATCTTTCTTAATTCACTGTCACCAGAATTAGCTACCAAATATCGGGTATCAGCAGCACCAATAATTGAATGAACCAATACAGATTGAGATTCAAAAATATTTGCTGCTATCAATCCCAAAATACCTAATTTAACCTATAAATTTTGACATAAGTTATAATACAAAACAATCAAAAAGGTATAAATATAAAAAAGTTACTTGTTCATGGTAATCAGAATCTATGAATATTAAAGGTATATTGAGTCGCAATCGCTTGATTGATTGAGTATTAAATCCAGCTAAGGGATCTTCATCCGATCCATTCCATTTATAAGGCAGTAGTAATATGTCTAACATTAACTGCAACATAACAGTTTTCAACTTTGAATGATCCTTAATAACTGCAACTCCTGTACTAGCGACTTGAACATTAGATTTATTGAGAGATCCAATTATAAGTAACAGAATGCTAAATTATTAAAAATATAGATAATAATTTAAATAAGTTATTTTTTAGTTGGTTAAATTAACCAATAACTAAATCACATTATAGTTTCTAGTAGGATGGTAGTACCTTTCTTGATGAGCAATAGCATTTTTTGCCGCGGAATTGATAAGTTGAGGAATTAGTTCAATTTTTTTATTATTATCTATACGGCCAAAACTCATTTTCACAAATACTATAGTGAAATTCTAAAATAAAAAAGTTAATCAAATAATACTCAATAAAATATTAATATACGATGAAAATATTTTTAAATAATTACCAAGACAAAATTGTTAGTGGATGTTGATAAAAGTTTGACCAACTGATCAACAGGAAGTATAATACTTGGACTTTGCTTTACCACTCTTGTAATATGCGTTAATAATTCAAAAACCTAAAAGCATTATACTCAATTAAATATGTGAAGTAATTAATAAAATTCAATTACTTTATTCCTGACGGATTCATGTGGTGAAGATAGTTTTTGTAATACTGGTACTAAAAAGTTGTTGATGCAAGAAGAGAGCTGAGTATCTGTATCGGCTGAACCAATACGAAAAAATACTCTTTCCAAGAGCACTAAAAAAAAAAAAGAATATCATTAACTACACTGAACGAGCTTTAAATTTAGCAGTATTTTATACTTACTCAATTCCTGATCCATGTTTGTTTCAGACATTATTGAAGTAAGCAAACGATACAAAGACGCAATACGAGAAACAGGATGAGAAAAAATAGTTACCCTATTCAAACAGGGTTTAAAATATCGAATTAACTCGTATAATATTTATTTGTAATAACGAATAAACAAATTACATATATGATATTATGTATATGTATATGAATAATGATAATCTTCAAATTTTCATTATCATTGTCTACATAAGCAAAGGTGATGACGAACTCGAAGGAAACGTAAGAATACCGTATAACGTTTCTAGTTTCTTATACGTAAAGCTTATCAACGTTTTTGATCATTGAGTAGTAAAACAAAGGCATTTTAAAAGTGCATTTCTAGTGCTCTAATGAAACTAAATAGATGGAATTATAGAGTAATAAAACTTCGAATTCATAGAATAAGATACTGTTACTCCATGGTCTCATTATAGCTTGGTAAATTGGCTACTGCGCGCATAATTCCTCTTATCACATCATTATCACTGTTATATTCAAATATGATAAATTTTGTACGCGCCAATTTGAATTATTTAGTATCAAACAATTATCCAATCCTTCACAACATCACTATATAATCAAAACTGATGAAACATATGCACATTCACCATGTTTAAAATGCAAAAAATGTAATATTTGCTACCACACAATTCATTTCTTCTGCAACGATAATGTTATTTAAACAAATATTTGTAAGCACATACATGCTTGTGCTCGTGAGTTCATAAGTTTAAATGACAATATTGAAAATAATGTTTTTCACGACACTAATATAACAGAGCAAAACATTTTAATGGATATAGTTGTATTTTATAGTCACCATAAAATGCACACAGATCAAAAAGAAATTACTTGGTCAAAGTTCAACAAATTAATATAATAATAAAAACTCGAAAAAAACAAAAGAAATTGTACCGTTTATGGTGTAGATAAAGAAAACATTTTCTAATAATTTATATCTACTAAATAAAAAAAACTATAAAATTAAATTACGAGTCTGCATTTTGTAAACCTATTGACCTAAGATTTAGATTGAATGTGCACTTATGCAGATCACTGACACTGAAATATTTCATGCCCCAAAATTCGCGTATATACAGCTGCTTTTCCTTGTATAAGGTTCGATTCTAATATAGGATATGTTTTTATCAAGCATAATTTTTACCTGATTTAGAATTCTTTTGTCTATATCATCGTATATGATAATTTCTTCCGTGTTTTAAGATTTCCGCTCTCTTTTATACCATATAGTATCTCGATTATACATTATTGTCGGTACTAGATGGAATCCCGAATTTCCCGTAGATAATTTATTTTTCTGTTTCTTTCAACAACTATATTTTATCTGTGATATTGATCATTTTTCTTTTTACGTACTTGTTAAATTTGAAACTCAAAACGTAGTATGAATTAATAAACGAATGACAGCGAATTACATAAAATCAATATCAATAATTTTTAAATAACAATAGTTTTTAAATTAACCGTAGAAAATAACAAGATATTAATTTATTAAATAGAAAGGTTTTCAAATAAAAATTTCATTATTTCATAAAATAATTCGTTAGGTATATAATGTTTCTTCAAATAGACGTTTGAGAAGTAGAGGGTTCACTGTATATTTAAATACATTCCAATAATACAATTTCGTATTAAATTTTAATTTGGTATCCTATTTAGTCGTTTCTCAATATCTAATTCTAACTCATATCTGACTCAGTTACGTAAATAGTCCAATTTTTTTTTATTTTTATTATCTGGTTCTTACTATAATAGTTGTATTACGCACCATAA